ATCATTGTTTTTGTCCTCTGAGTCAATACATGACATTGCTACAAGAAAGCCTTAATACATAATGAATAACAAGACAAAACGCAACCAGTGCTCATTTATATAAACTTTTGAATTAGTTTTGGGACTCACGACTCTTCTATTAATCAAATACCAAGCCTCTGAATAGCTACAGTATAAATAAATAAATACTGAATTGCAAAAAAATATTCTGTTTCAATGGAACCTTGTCATGTTGAATAGTAAAACTCCCACTGATTTCACTGAGGTCAGGCTTTTAATGTTATTCATAAAATATTCACCAGGATTTTTTTGTACCATTCTGCCAATTTATTGACATCATGATTCACTGGATTTTTAATGTTTGATGGTATAACACTGTCCTGGTTCTGGCTGGGACAGGGTTAATTTTTGCAGTAGGTGGGAGGGGGCATGGTTAGGACCCAGAGATTATTCTATACCACCTCATTGCTGGGGATGAGGGAAAGGGACTCTCTTCCAGGGAGAAAGAGTTCCTTCCAGTCAAGAAAAAGTAGCAGAAAGAGCCATCTGATACTGTCTATTATTGGGGGGTGGGGGTTTCTATGAGAATAGTTTCTCTTCTTATACCCTCTGTCATTAGTTTTGTTGCTGTAACTGTTGATTTTCTTGTCTCATCGCTGTGTCCAGTAAATTATTCTTATATCATCCCATAATCTTTACCTTTTGTGCCTCCAATTCTCCTCTCCAGTCACCCACAGGAGAGAGGGGAGAGTAAGTGGCAGCATGGGAGCACTAAATTGGAGAACACAATTCCTAAATCAGGGCAAACACAATCACTTGAGCTGTAATATTTTTACTTGTAATGAAAATTAAGAACATGCTAAGAGACCTTATTTTTCAAAAAATTTCAATTGTTGACAATATATAGGACTGGATTATCTAAAAGGCAATCTGGAGTTCCAGCTATGTAACTTTTTGCTTGCTTAGTTGTCAATGACAAAATCTCAATGTAAAGAAAGATCTAACCCAAGACTGTTTCAAAACCCCAGCAGAACCCTATAAGGAATGCTCAGCTGCTTTGTTATATATTATTGTAGACACAAGATTAACAGAGCTAAGCAATAATCATAAAGGCTGAAAAAACTCTCTTCTATTTGCATCCCATTTGAGCTGTAAAATCATAAACCAAAGTGAGAACCCTTTTTTTAGCAATGTAAGATGAATTACCAAAGTGCTAGGCCTTTACTAAAATTTAAGCTAAATCAAAATCCCAGAGCATCCTACCAGCATGGAGCAGGGAATTGGACTCAGTGATCTTTATGGGTCCCTACCAACTCACAATATTCAATGATTCTGTGACTTCAGATGCCTAAAATGGCATTTTATCTCAAGTCACTGTCAGATATGCCCCTAATGTCTTATTTATAATACAACAGTAGGTTCTCACCCTAAGATTGCAATATGTTGCCTTGACAATAGGTTGAGAAAACATAACTTCTGTAAGAAGCTTGGGGAAAAGAGAAGACAACTGAAAAAGTCCTCAGGCAATTTGATTTCAGTATGACTTATTGATTACAGTCAAATAAGCAAGTTGACTCGTTATTAGTGTAATACAGCAACAGATAAGGAAGGAAATTCCAAAAGCCAACAAATATTCTTAAAAGATGTTTGAAAAGTCTCTGACGTTACAAGTTATTTAGTCATTGCTTATTAATGTAATTAGTCAAGTGTTAAAATAATTATTTTAAATCACATTAGGAATAGAAAGTAAAGCAAACAAAATTCCATTTGCAAAGCCTCCTCAATGGATCAAAAATACTGCAGCTTGGCTTACTCACTGTCTAAAATTCAGTTTGAGAGAAATAGACTGACGAGTATGAGAAATTAAAATCTTCTTAAGTCAATTTGAGGCAGACCTATCAGTTCAATCTAGACCAAAGCAAGGGCAGCACTAGTCCTCTTCTCTTCAGCTCTGTAAACATCACTACAGAGAGTCTGGCTCCTGCCATGGCTGTGGTGCAGAAATGACACTTGCAGTTCGAAAACTTTCCCTAGTTCAAACTAAAAGTGCCTTGAGAGCCACTGTGACATTCAGAGTGAAGCATCTTGCCTGTGCACAAGTTTAGCTGCGCAAGCTGTGAGTCAGGCATAACAGGTTTTTAATTGTATAGCTTGCATTTTGCCCCAGGTACCTGAAAAAACATTGAAGATCTCACTATCCAGGTCAAACCTGTAAGTCTGGAATGTCTTTTTCATCAGTCTGAACTGTTAGCAATAGTGATGATGATATAAATATTTTTCATCGGGGAAAATGTCTGGCAAGAGATCATTTTAATGAGGCAGTTTGAAAAGAATATTACTGCTTTTGAGGGATATGATCTACTCCTCTTACTAGGTTACTAATAGACTAAGGAGACGACAAAGAACGTGACTGAAAGAGTTGTGATCAAATGTGATAAATGCTGCCTGCTCTAAATTGTGAACCCACATCATTTAAACTTTTGATGTTTTATTAGTTAACTCAGTTTATTACATTTGGACTGCAGAATTCCTTAATACTCATGTCTTTCAGTGCTTTGCCTAGTCCACTTTTCTAAATCATGCAATCATATAGCAGGTACTGGATAAAGAAAGTGCTCCAGAGTAAAATAAGAGAGGTTTATCATGATGTTCAGCAGACACCTGCCTTTTTTTAAATGTAAGCTTCATTCTCTCCTTTTATCTCTGAACAATTCCTCTTGTTGATGGACTCTATGTCTTTCTATTGCTTTTATTAAATAATGCTTCCAAAGAGTTTGCACTCAGCCATATTATCTGCCCTAAGTCCTAAATCTTCTTTGCTGTCTCTGTCTATAGCTTCTTAGTTCTCATCATACCAGACTTCAAAGTCTTTTCAACATCTAGAAAGCTTTTGATTTTATCAATATAAATCCCAGATAACTTCACTAACACTATGAGTAGTCTAAATTCTCACCCAAGACAAGGCTAACATGATGCACACAAGTGCCAGGAAGACTGATAGGACTGAAGAGATGCATCAGGTACTGTGCATCTTTCGTTCTCATCCTGTTATGTGTGCAATTAAATTTCGTGGAGATATTGGCATTAGCATTCATCCTTTGTATGTAAAAGCTATGTGATTTCTTTCTAAAGGGTGAAGATGGGCTGTAGACACATGAACACATGTTTTCTTGTTTGGAAATTCACTGGCTGGATATGTAATTTGACTAGTGTTTTTGTATTACAGCAAACTTGGAAGGAGAGAAAAGTATTTGCTTGATTTTTAGAGCAAAAACATTCATTGATTTTGTCCAGTTGTATCCTGTGTTAGCCTAAGTCTTCTTTTAGCTTTTTGTACTGAAACACACGCTTTTCTGTCTGTATCATGCCAGAGCCCAATGACATCAGTAGAATTGTTCTGAATTTACAGAAATATAACTCAGAACAGAACTTGGATCTGTATCTAGGTCATTCGGTCTTTCATCGTAACAAACTTCCAAGCTCATAAATAATCACTGCTCTTCAAATTCTCACCATTGTGCTTATTGAAGTATCCAGAACTATACTTAAAACAAAATTAATAGGTAGAATATTATTAACTTTAAATACAGATGAATTAATTAAACTGTGAGAGTTATTCAGATAATTAAAATCAAGCACTGTTTAAGTAGCCTGGTGTGTTAGATCTCTGTATTTTACATATGTGATTATTTTAAAGGGACTTTGAGTATTAATACTACTAAAGTTATTGCAAAATAACTCAACACTTCTATCTATTGGAGCACTGGATTCAGATACTTCATTTTATCTTTGACCCCAGTGCCTAGCACGCAAAGTCGAACTGGAGATTTTTAATAAGATCAGTTTCCACTTTATCTGTTGATTCATCTAGATCACAGAATTACGGAATAAACCAGGTTGGAAAAGACCTCTGAGATCATCAAGTCCACCTATGATCCAACACCACCCTGTCAGCTAGACCATGGCACTGTCACCTCCAGTCTCTTCTTAAATACCTCAGAGATGGTGACTCCACCCCCTCCCTGTGCACCCCATTCCAACGTCTGATCATTCTCTCTGTAAACAGATTAATAGTGGCATGCATCTGAAGTCATACTGCTCTTATTCATTTCTATATTAAATTCTAAGATACTGTTGACTATTATTCTCAAAAGTTATATTTCACATTTCTCTTTCTGCTATATGTGGCAAGTTGCTTTTTTCTTCTCTAAATTGTATTGTATTTTCTTCTTTTCATTTATGTATTTCTAATTACTCTTCCCCTATATATTATTCATTTGTTCTTGTAATAATCATAACCACTTAAGAGTGGTTAAGTGTCCACTGTAAGAATTTTTTTGCCTTATCTTCTGTGTTACCAGATTACCTTTTGTCTTATTTTTATACTAATCTTATTTTAATGTCCCTTATCCATTTCAAACATCCTTACTTGAGTATAAACAAATAGGAACATAGCGATTGCCCTACTGACTCAGACTGATGATCCATCTATCCAAATACTCTAATGGTAGTAGGAGATGAAGCTCAGGGAGAACACCCAAGCCTGGTTGCTTTCAGTCATCCACTCCCCAGTTGTATTAGAAATATCAGAGGGCAGGACTTTGCCTCTTCCTAATGTTGCTTCCACACCTGTTTTCCATGAATTTGTCTAATCCTTTCTCACACTTGTTGAAAACCTCTGCCATCTGATTAAGTGGCATCTTGTAATAAATCTTATTTATTAGTTGATCTTGTATGAAAAGCATGGATCTGTGATTTACTGTTGGTCTCCATCTCGTCAATTTGATTAGAATCCTTCCTCCACTTTAAACAGGATCCCAAAGAGTAACAAGTAATATTTGGTCCTTGTACATGAATTTACCTCGACAACTGACACAAGCATTGATATCAAAAATGTGAAGTATGATTTCACAAAAGCAGAAACATCATGAGGCTGAAGAGTGAGATTCTAAATAATACTAGCATGACTAGCTGAAGTATATCATTAATAATAATTTTACCTTGTTTCAAGACCAGCTCTAGTGTGAAGCCCTCAATCTCATTAGATTATTAATCAGTCATTTTTAAAATAATTGGCGTAAGTGTATTTCTTCTCCAGCCCTTAAAAATAGAATAGAAAAATCTTAATTTTTCTGACATTTAACTTGTCTTCTGCAGTCATTCCAGTACAGATTACACCATTATACGCTCATTTAATCTGGTGTTGTGTCAAAACTAATTAGAATTTCATGGCAATACAATCCTTTCACCTCTTGATACTTCATCAGTGTGACTTTATTTACAAAGTGCAGCATTTATACCTCATAAACCAGTTTTACAGGAACTGTGTGATTCCATATGCACTCCTCATCATTACTGTTACTCTTCATTTGGTGTATGCTATAAACGTAGTGTCATATCAACCTCTTAGTAATTGTGTAGCCTGTTGCCATTCTTACTGCAAAATGACACTTGCAATTTTTTTTTACTGCCTTTTAATAGGCGTGGAAATGTATCCTTATAATTTTTAATTATGGTGAAGATAAAATCCTTGCTCCATATTCTTTGGCCACTGTTCTGAGGCCAGAATTGCATTCATTTAATAACGAGTCAAATACAAGGTAGAGCATGAAAGCAAAGCAAGCTACATTCAAAAAAAAAAAAAAAAAGTCATTATAGACATAAGGGAGTAGCAAAAATCCAAATATAATACTGCAAAAATTTGTACTTCTCGAATCACAATAAACAACAGCTATAACGAAACTGAACTGCAGTATCTTCCTCCAGTATTTGAGGTAATTTACTTTTATTATTTATTTTATTAAGCCTCACTTCATAGTACATGATTCACACATATTCTGGCAGTCAGTCCTCAGAGTTAATAGGACATTCCAGGATCTGAGCCCATTCAAAAAGTGACAATATGGTAGATGTGTCTCAAGGGTCTGCCTAAGATGAACAGTTCACAGGAGCAGAGCATTAGATTAATCTCTTCTTTGTCTTTGAAGTACCATTATCATTATTGATATTGTGAGAGCAAGTCTGAAGAGAGACAATAAAGTTATCCAGCACAAGCATTTTTTTTTCTGGTTTCACATCAGAGATAAATAAATGGATGTTACACTGCAAAATATCACTTTCATAGTACTTTTTGACTTCCAAGAAGAGCAGCCTCTGCCTTTTCTTCTCTGAAGTGTTGACTAAATGTTCAAATTGTGTGGACTAATACCAAGTTCCTAGAATATCCAGAGCAACTTCTGTTTCCAGTTTTAGACTAAAAAGGTAGGGAAAGGAGCAGTGACTCATTTCTGTGCTATGGAAGCTGCTATCAATTGCAGAAGAGGAAAAAGACAAGGAAGTGTTAAGGAAGATAGCATTATTTTCACCAGGAAGGAAGTGAGTCTGAACCTTTTACATCACAGCTCACTGCTGATGGATTGGAAGTGTCCAAATTTTTATCCCTGTTGTTGATAGTAATTTCCGGCTGTATCTGTTGGTGTCCCAAGGCTGATCACAAGCTGCAAGAGGCCCTTGCAGACATCAACAAAGAGGTTCTAGAACTTGTCTTGAAATGCTACAGAACCTCAACAGGGCAAAAAGAAAAATGCAGCCAGCATTTAATGGATTGAAAAAGCTAATTCATAATGGGCAATAATAGGTCTAGCAGACTAACATCAATCCTGGGAAAAACAGTAGAAAAGTTAAAAAAAAAATCAGTTAAAAGAGGCTTAAATAAATTATACTAATGTATAAAATTTATAAATTATATAAATGATGCAAAAATTTATAAAAATAGAATCTGGACAAAAGGACTTGTCAAATTATGTCTTTTAGTGAGTCTTTAAGTTTAAATCATAAAGTTAATGCTATTAACACAGTACACATAGGTTTCTGTGAAACATCAAGACCTGATACAGAATAGCGCTTTCTGCTATGAATTTAGGATGATACAAAATTAATGTTTTACATGTTAAGTGCATTAAAACTAATAGTCATGTGTTAAAATGGAGTCAGCAAACCCATATTTTTATACACCACTTAAAAAAAAAATCTGATTCAAAAACCATGCATGAATTCAAAGAACAAAAAGACCTTGTGTCAAAGTCACCAGAAATATGTGGCCTGTAGCTTCTGCTTTTGATTATATGTCTAAAACAGTATAACAGGCACCCTTCCAGTCAGATATATGTCAGATGCGTCCAAAACATACATCTAAAATCATGCAGTTCACAACAGACAGTAGAAAATGCAAAAGTAAAATCAGTTTCAAGATGTCTGTGTGCAAGTGCATCAGTGCAGCTGTTTTGGTATTCCACCATGAGATTGAGTCAACTGTGCCTTACATAGCATAATGCCCCAAAAAATTCATGCATTACACAGCACAGAATGCAGCAAATACTGTTACTTAGTCAGTGATGGGGGTGAAGCCTAAGGTAAATCATGTCAGCTCTAAGCCAGGCTTTGCGTGGTACCTAACTTCACAGTAAGTCTGTGTTTGTGAAGCAATAAGATTGTTCTGGTATTACAGCTTGGCAATTGCAGTAACTTCATGTATCACATTACGTATTTCCTTTTTTTTTCATACATGCTCTTTGTTCCAGTGGTCTGAATTTCCCTTTCTCATCCCTTACCATTTTGCCAAACCAGATCCCTGCTTTAACTCACTCTTTGACAAGAGTCAAACACTTAGCACATTTTGAAAGTTGTGTCTTATTTCTTTAGAACAGTTTTAAAAAAAAGAGAAAAAAAAAAAAGAAAAAAGTTCTTCTTTTATTGTGTGTTGTTAAAAGTTTTTCTCAAATGAGCAATTCTCAGAGGGCATTGTATAAATCTTTGTATGGTATTACCCATCTGTTCTTACACGTTTTCTGTAACAAAATAGTTAAGAGTACCGATATTTTAAAATACTATTTACATGAGGTAACAGTATTGCAATGAATGGGGCTGTTCACGTCTCAAACTATGGTTTCTTTTTTAATCTCTCTGCATATTCAGAAATTAGTTATGTTGGATACACTCAGATCACACTGGAAGTATTTAATTGGAAAACCCAAGAGGGACAAAGTAAATCCTTACCTTTCCTCTAGGAAGCAAAACAGAGCTCATGCAGAGCTCTAATGCCCAGTCAAGTTACCCTTATCAAGATTTCATCTGGTAGATGGGCAATGGAGGAATGCTCAGATGTAATCAAAGACATTTGCTCAAGTTATTAGTTTGTATTAGTATTGCTGGTTCTGCTGCTAAATAAGCAAGGATAATTTTCAGTTCAGAAATCAATTTATTTCCCCCTCAGAAAGACTTAATACTGTTGACAGTATATATAGTGTAGTTGCCAGACTGAATAGAAAGATAAAACCAGTACTGGAATACAGTTGCTGTTTATGATGGAAAACCTTACCTAGTGAAACTGACCCATAAAAAGGTATCAAGATCTTCATATTGAAGATGTGGTGTTTGAAACTAATTAGGAGTAATTCTGAAATATTTGTCAGAATGCATTTGAAGCTAATACAAAGCAAAGGAAAAATGCTTCAAAAATAGGATAGTACTGTACTGTTACTGAGAGCTTGTTGTCTTAAGCACCGATGAATAGGCAATCAGCTTGGAAAAAATAATTAATTCTTCAGTGCAAAAGTTTTTCAAATATATGGCCCAAATTTCAAATATAAACATTAATTTTGTTTAAATCTGAATCTGTGGCTGAAGTGACATACGCTGCATGGGACATCATATTAGAGCTAGTAGAATATCTTTCAAAAAACTAATTAACATAATACATATTACCAAAATATTATATCTTTTATCCATAGCAATTTGTTTACAATATTAAATAATGAAGAAATATATTTTGACTGTAAAAGGGTATCAGAGAAATAAGGTGGGCTTTTTGGTTGATAAGGGGTTATCAAGCACTTGATGACCAAAGTTTCCAGAACTTACACATTTATTAAATGAAACAATAATGGTAGAATTTGGTTTTCCCCTGAGAAATAACAATGTCTAGCATTATGATACAATGGGAGTACAGGGAAAGGGTTTAGGGGAAGAAATAGTACTACACAGTCAGAAAATAGCCTTTTGATTTCTCCTATGAGATTGCATGTCTGGAGTGTTGACATCTGAATAGAAATATTCAGAATAAGGAATTAAGCAAGATAAGTAGTAACTTCATGCTGCACAAATTATAACTTATGCTACACAAAAGCATAAGATAAAAATCAGCCCGCAGAATTATTTTTTAAAAAATAGTTTGTGGCAGATCAGCAGATTAATATAATTTAAAGCTGCATTAAGCCATATAAAGTAGTCCAACAATTCCTTGTATATCTGTTTCTATAAATAATTTTATTTTCTGACTAGTCCCCAGGATAACAGATTATTCTCAGTCTCTGTGCTAAATAGTCTATTTGTGTTCTATTTAGTTAATTAACATACAAATCACCTAGGTTAAAGTCAGAATTGAGAGCACTAGTCCGCTTGCATTGTGATTTCCCAGACATTTGACAAAATACTAAATTGCACAAGGTTAAGCAAAAAAACCAGTTTTAAGATTATATATTTTGTTTCATTTAATGTGAAAATAGCAGACATAAGGAAAACTTTTTGATTAGAAACAGCTGTTCTAGATTAGACCAAAGGGCCATCCATCTAAATTAGCATTCTGAAATTAGGAGACCCAAGAGTTCTCCATCACTTGAGCAGTAGTATACATCTTGCCCAGTCACAATCTTTTCGTTAGGAAAACAAGAATTAACAATACCTAGTAGCACATATACCATATTCCTTCAAGTATCAAGTTGCTTACAACTTTAAACTAGTATCTACCAATTTGCCCAAAGCAGCCTTAAACTTACAAGCTTGTAAACCCCATCCCACCCCAAACCACCCCTGAAACTACTTCATTAAATGGCTGCCATGCCGGTTACCTTCCAGTCATCAGGCACCCAACAATTCTAAGCAGGGGGTTACATGTCACAGTGGGTTTCAGCTGTTTCTTCCTTTAAAACTCTCAAGCAGTACCAACTGGGTCTTCTGATTTGACAAAATAAACATTTATAGCTTGTTCTGTAATCTCCTTTAATGAGTTTTCATTTTGCATCAGATAATCTGCTATGCCTGCCATATAAGAACCATGTAGCATGGGAGCTCACCCAAGCTCCTCTATAACGAACTCAGAAGCAAAAATCTTCTTAAGTTTTTTGTTTGATGGATTTTGGTTTGGGTTGAATTTTTTTTTTTGTTTTCTTTTTTTGGGGGGAGGTGGGTTTTATTTCTTCCCCTATGGCTTTATTTTCTATGAGCACTTTTTAGGAAGCTTTACAAAAAGTAACCTTTATTCACTGGATGTCTTTTACAAGTTGATTTTCAAACTGTTTTTTTCACTTGATCATCTCACAGCTGAATGTGATACAGTTGCTCCAAAGAAATATAAGGTCTGTTCAGGTATATTCAACGAATAGCATGTTCATCTAAAACTGCTTAGATACTTATAAAACTGTTGTTTTAAATATTGTATATTAATAAATGCTAACAGTTTCATGTGTTATCAACAAGTGCAAATTTTCCCAGGACATATGCTCGTTCATGAAACACTGGAAAAAATGAATTCTGATGGTACAAAGAACAGTTACATAGCTCTTGATGTTTCAGTCTCCTCAGAAAATAATACCTGGCTGAAAACAAAGTCAACTTACAAGCTAGAACACTTAAATATTTATGGTTATTTTTCTGTGCAGACAGAATATTATTCAGAAATAGTCCCCTACTAAGTGACCAGCCAGGATGCATCTTGTCTGACCTTGTGTCACAGCATGGTTGGGGGCCAGTATAGGACTACTAACAATTCTCATAATCGAAAAAACCAACAGGGAGCTAAGACTTCTTCCTCTTCTTTGTTTTTGGTTTTTGATTGGGGTTTTTGATTTTTAAGAACAAAGTCTAGCTAGTTCCTCTTCCCCAGAACTTTTCCATTGTTACTTTTTCAATTGATAAGGATGGGTCATCCGTATTTGAGATCACTGGCATTGCCCAATGAGCTCCACTTTAATTGCTCTTTTGTGTAAGAAAAAGATAAGTTTTTCTCTACCCAAAGTTTTATTAATCTGGGGCATAGAAATGTCTATTACAAAGTACATCCGGACAGTGAGCCAGCACATCTGTAGGAATTTGAGTCATTTGGAGTTTGGGAGGAGAAGCATCACTGATGTTCTCACAGTTTTAAGTTCCACATAAAGAAGTATTGATTAATGTAAGGCTAGCAGATATTAACCTTGCAATAAGAAGTAAAGGTTAATGCTATATTCATTTCAAAACCTGTGCAAACCCTGTTGCTTTCTCTTTTGTCTTGTCCATAGATATCACATATTCAGAGCCTCCATTTTTTTCCCCCGAAATACATGCTACTATAGATGTTAAATTTTAAACTGTAAAGAAGGCAATAAATGTTTTCTTCCTGAAATTACAGTGTGGTGCTGGTCCTATATAGGCTAATATAGAATCACATGTTTCTGTGAAAAAAATGTACTACCTTGTTCAGGTATGTAACAGGACAAAGAAAGCAGAAGAGAGCTGCTATCAGCAGATGCCGTGATGGCTGCCTTCAGCAGAAATTGAGTCTTTTGGTCTTGCTTAAAAGACAAGCATACTACTAGCCTGAGGCCTCAATCACGAACCAGGGTCTTTACATGTTGAATGTAAAGATGGTTTCTCAGTCACGGAGCTAGGTTTTAGCACTGTGCTCATGATCTACTAAAAACTGCTGCACATCAGGACAACAGAAGTTTAAAGCAGCACTTGTCCGTCACTTTTCTCTGACCTATAGTATTTCTTTGAGAAAACCCATCTTATACCTATTTAAAGACTCTAGATGATAGAGAACATTTTATATACCTAGTTAACTATTATATTTCTAGATGGAAAAATTATTACAGATAACCACTAAATTTAATTTTCTCTCCAAGTTGCATTGTAATCTAGGTAGTTTACATAGGAAAGACAGGGCTTTTTGAGCCATAAGTTTGAGACCTGAAATAATTCTTGTATAAATAATCTGAATTCTTTTCTATTTGTGAGCCTTTCATTTCAGTAAAAGGCTTTTGGGTAATACACAATAAAAAGACAATCATAGAATGGTTTGGGTTGGAAGGGACCTTAAAGACTATCTAGTTCACAACCCTCTGCCATGGGCAGTGACACCTTCTGCTAGACCAGTTTGCTCAAAGCCCCTTGAAGACTTGTGCCTATTCGGTTTCATCAGGTGGTCTTGAACCTGCTCTTTGGTCTAGTCCAAGAGATTAAATGAGATATTGGAATATCTGAGTAAATCAGAGTGCTTCAAACAACGTATGCTACTTCAATCACTACAAGTAATTTGAATTCCTATTCATCTGCTAGTACTATTGGTGAAATGGTTGAAAGTTGATACATTTTCATTTACTTCATTTGAACTAATTTTTCCCCAGTCTCCCCACAGATTCCAATTCAGTAAAGCATTTATACTGTATTTAGGAGCAGGCCTAGTACTCAGATATTTTGGGGGGGTGTTCATTTTCACATGTGTTTTGGCTCTGTAGAAGTATTTCAAAGACAGATGGATTTCTGATTTCAGTAATTCTTTGTTTGTGAAATGTATCACTTAATGCCTGTGTGTGGCTAACAATATAATTTCCTGAACAGAACACACATATGTCTCACCTCGTCCACTGTTTCAGATAAATCACTCTAGCACTGTGCCTTTTTCTAAATCTGTAAAACAAAACAATAATAAAAGAGACAGCGTTTAGATATAAGCATCTCCAAATGGCTTGGAATAAAAGCAGTATATAGAACCTAGATACAATGTGTGTTAGGGAAGAGAGCACAGACATATTTAACAACAAGGATTTAAAACAGGATTATGGCAGTCAAAACACTGCAGAACATCTCAAGTTTAGAAATTATCTATGAACATCCATAAGTTCCAAGTTGAATTGGCTTTCCGTCTATATAAAAGTTGAAACTGGCACTTTTAACATTAAGAATCCATCTTTTTGTAGCTATCTCTCTAATATCATCGTTGGTTTTCACTAGGAGCTTTCCTGAGATAATCAAAATGGATTAACTAGTTCTCATTGCAAAGATCAGCTCAGTTCAGCATCTGATAAATCTAATTTCTACATAAGAGCATGTCTCATCATTGGGAGCAATAACCTGATGAATTACAGACTTACTGGATGGCTGAGGCTGTGAGATAAAGAAAGGAAAAATTTCCCTCGTACTTTTTCTTACAGACAGGATAAAATCACAGGATTTGCAGCTGTACTCTACAAGCTATGTTCTGAGTTGCTTATTACAAGGCAGGATTCCTTTGTTGCTGTGGGGATATTCACAAATGCAATTCTAAACTAAAAACACTTGTGGGAAAAACTCTAGTGGTGATTCAAGGGTGATTGCTCTATGTTGGGGCAACCAGTGCATTAGATATAAAAGGAAGAATTTATTCACTTTGTCTTGAAGAGAGTGTGTGGGATTTTTTTTTTTCAGAGGTTTTACTGAGTGTTTTTCTCAGTTATGCATTTTAACTGTTGGCTAGCACTTAAGCAATGCCAGTCAACCTGCCTGGTGAGTGATATGTATGATACTGTCTTCCGAGTGAGATCTATATGCAAAGGCAGCAAATTTTCTGCTGCCACATTTGAAAAAAATGTGATTTAAATTCTCAGCTATGGTCTTCCTGTTTCATTGAAAATGACTACTTGGGATGTTCACAGAAAGCAGGTTTCTTGCTCAGACAATATCAACAACTGCCATAATGGCTGACTCAGGTTTAAGGTTTAGAAAGGGCGTGGGAGGATGGCCCTGTGCTCTTTGGTTTGCTCACCTGTAGAGGGGAGGAATTTGTTTTGCATGTGCAATTACTCAATCTAGTCAGACATCTCATGAGGAAGGGACAAAAAAAGTTGTGGTTTTTTATTATCTTTGTTGATTGATTTACTTAAAGCTTTCAGTTGCCTTCCTGATATGTGATACGTACTTCTGTACGTGATTCAGGTACAAATAACAGGGGATTAGAACTGTTTCTAGTTAGATTGAAAATATCTAGTAATATAAATTAAACATACAGTAGTATGCAGTAAAAAAAATTGAGTTTAAAGTATATATTAATTTGCAAGTCCATCTCAGAAATTTAATTGCATTTCTTGGACAAAATCAGTTGATCTAAGCAGATATTTGGGGATGGGGGGAAGGAAAAAACAAAGCCAAAACCAGCAGAAAGGAAGATTGGTTGTTTGTACTGTTCTTCCCTGGTCTAAAGTCTGCCAAGTGTAAAGCACAGTACCCATGAAGGTGAGTGCATTGCAGTTGAAAATTAAGCTGCTGTAGGGCAAACCAAGTAGTAGCTTAGTACTGACAAACTTCTGCTAAGCATTCATGAAACACTTGATTTAAATCTGGAAAGTCTTTCAAGACATAACGGTACAGAAGGCATAATGTGAGCACTTGATATGAGCTTGCAGTCACACGTAGAAAAGGGAGCAAGAAAGGACACCATTCCACTATCTGTGTTTCTTCCTTTACAAAACATGTTTGGCATCTGCATCTTGCAGTTTCCCCTGGCAACTCTCTACCATCACAGAATAGAATGTCCCAAGGCTACACTCCATTACACTGCACCATCTTTTTCCTTTTTTCTTGCTCCACAAGCTTTAATGAAGCCCATCAAATTTGCACAAGAGCCCTATTTACTGTACAAAGATTACGTCAAAAGGAACGATGTTGGCTTCCTATTAATGCTTGAAGATTGGCAAATGATCATGAAAGTCGATTGCTGTTCAGTTTGCTAAGTGATGGCATATATTGCTGCCTTGCCTAATTACAGCAAATCAGATGTTTCCTGTGGTGGAAAACAATACTAACAAATTACTAACTCTGTGTGTTTTAAGGGTAATAATATATCTTGCAAATCAGTTGAAGCAGAGCATTGGAACACAAATCTCTGTACATGTTTTACCATCAGGTTTTTTTAATGTGTATTTATGGATATGTAAATTCAGGAGAAATATTAAATCTTTACAATATACATGATTGATCAATTGCACAGTGGTAGCTATTCTCAACTGATTCAGAGCTGAACTGTATTCAGAGCTGAATTTGTTCATTGCTTTTTTTTTCTTAAGCTTTTCTCCAAAAATCCTCTGTTGAGTTACAAGAATAAAGGCACATGTGATAAGAAGTGCAGTAAGCACTAGTATGCAGAATGGTAAAGGTAATCTACAAATAAATTTCAGGGTGTACAGAGATTAAAGGAATTGGCATTACCACAAGAAAACTAACAGAAATTTACCTCTATCTGAGATTTTAGCTCTCACATTGAAGACAGTAAGGATATGGCTGGTTTTGTGCGCATGCATAGTCTTTCTGTTTTTCAGTCAGTAGTTCCCCAGGATATGCTTTTACACTGAGGGATTATTAGGACATCATGATAACTCCTACACACAGTCTTTGCCTAACTCCTGCATGTAATTTCAATGTCTCTAGCTTTACATCTAACAAAACCAGTTAGTGTGACAGCCTTTGGCTCTTTGTAAAGGATGACACTGATTTCCTTCACTTGTCACTTAACTAAGAGGGAGGCTGAATCAATCAATCAAATCTTTTCAGTGTAATATTAAAGAAAATAACTGTTGTTTAAGCCTTACTTACAGTGTAAAATTCAGCCTGAAGAAATATCTCCTAGCAAAATTTTAACTAGAAAACTAAATGCTTTTTATTTTCCTGAGACTAAGATGAATTAAGTGAAATAAAAATCATGTTTGTGATTTCATGCTTGAGAAATTGCCTGTTAAATCATGACATTGCCCACACACCTCTGATTTTGCTCTAGCAGCTCAGGGAAGGAAACAGAACTCCACAAAGAAAACTTCAAGGAAGTTTCTTAAAGACATATGCCAGCAGCAAATCATTCCTATATATTAATGTAGTGAATAATGTTTTCACGATTTATCAAAACACGTATCTAGTCCTTTTGGAGGTTTCTAGGTAGATACCTCCACTGGCCTCCCTGAAAATTTCCAGTTGGATGCATTGAGCTGAGAACCTCAGTGCGTTCAATTCAGCCCTGTGCTGAGCTTGTGTTCTGCTGATCAGAAACTGCTGAGAAGATACACGAGATCTTTAGGGTTTTTTGGAAGAAATGGAAAAGGATTCTCTCTTTGAAACTAGGGAGAAGATCAAGTAAGGTTTCGTTGGAGCATGTCAAGGAAGATTCTTCTAACTGCTGAGCACTTTCATTTAGAGCTAGACTGACGCAAAGTCCGTGGAAGGACTGAGAGACATTATGTGTGTACCAGAGGAATTTGTAGTAACAAAATGAGATCTCTTCAGTTTATTCCATTCCTGTCAGTTTCCATTTTGTCATCTTGCCCGTGATCAAGTCCTATGTGTTCGATCTCAAACATCTGTGGTTTACTCTAAAACTAAACAACTATGATTCTACACAAATTTCATACATAAATAATTTCAGTGCCACTGAAATGGAAAAATTTGGAAAAGCCTTCCTAGCGGCTCTTGTTTAAGATGGTTTTGATGTAAATTACACAGACTTGCTGTCTTTCCACTCTGTCTCACATTTCCTTCCTTTAAACTCCCCTTTAACATTTTCTCCCATCTCTTTCCCTGTCTTCTGTCCAGAGAAGCCAGTGTCTCATATCCTGTTCTCTAAACGTTGTTCATTTGCATGACCTCTACTACTCTTGATTATTGTAATGAGTATCTTTAATAATTATCATCATCCTGATCTATTTTTTCACAGCAATACCCACTTTGTTGAATTTCAGATTTATAAAACAAGTGTTATATTAGTAAAAGCTTAAATACTTCCTCTTTTCCCCAGTAATGCTTGTACAAATCTAATAAATCAGTAACTTTCTCCAGTGGTCCTGAATAAACTTACAGTCACCCTGACGGAAGTGCCTCAGCTGAACAGAGGGCATCAGCCAAAGTGAAGTGTGTTTCTCCATCAAAGTAGTTCAAAATTCCATTGAATTGCTGTGCAAGGAATTTCTCTGTGCCTTGCACACTTTCATGAGCATCTCTGCTTTACTTAATAGGTATTTTCAGTAAAATGTTCAATGGCAAAAGAATTAATAGTGTTGAATGTGTGTGCCTGTTAGTCATGGGCAAGGATTTTACATTGATAGGTGCTGAGCAAACACAAGTAAAATATGTGACCCTCTTTCTGAGACAACAAACAGATTCATGTTGTTGGCAGTGCTAATGGGATACACTTTTTGGTTTAACGCTATTTATCAGTATTTTAGTACAGTAAAGACAAAAAAATTATCTCAGTTACAGCCTTTTGCCATTACTAGTACACACTGAGAGCAGTTGTCTACAACAATATGAATGCATTGTCTGCAAGAACTTCAAATGAGCCACCAATTCCCCAGCTGAATCTTGCCTCTCTGGAACACAATGGCTCCTGATGAGATGGAGCTAGCACCATCATTCAGAAAAACAGTCAGTGACTCTGTAAGTAGCTATGTGGTACTATTAAAAGTTCTAAATGGCTTTATGACTTACCACAGTAAGTCATAAAGTCCCACTTCAGGTGCTCCATATAGATCTTTTCTACCTGGATGCACTACTGTGATGCTCATGTCTAAGCTGGCTCATTCAGCAGCAGCACAAAGCACGGGCAAAACCATGGTGGGCAGCCTGAACCTGCCTGGATGACATGGGTTAGTACACATCACAGCATTCCCTTTACAAACTCATGGGGAATTTCAGAATTCCTCTTTTTCTCTG